TAAAAAGTAGGATAATGGATTGCTTTGTTTTGTAAGGCTGCTGTCAGTTATGTCAACGAGCACCTTCAATAAAATCATACAATTTATATGAATTCATAGCAATGAAAACTAAAATGTGAGATGTCTTTATTACCATAAGCTTCTATTTCCCAATGTATTCTTTAGAAATATCCATTTACATGAATTCTTGTACTTTATAAGGTTCTCATAGTCCCCTCATTGTCTTGAAGCAAGTGCACATTTTTTTATATGTCCATGAGGGAAGCAAACCAGACTAGACAGCTGTCTTTCACAGCTGATGTGTCTGATCCCAAGAGAAGGTCAGCATGAAGTGGCAGCAAGAGTGAATGCAAGAGCCGCCAGGGAGAAAAAAAGCTTGCAATCACTGCAATTACACATAACAGACCTAGTGCTTTATATAACCATATCATTTCCCTCCCTGAAAGAAATATATGGTCAGAGTATTCCTGTGAGTACCCACATTCACTCCCCTTACCTTCTTTCTTGCTCTTTGAGATCCATATTTTAGCATGAAAAAAAATACATATTTTAGCTGAGGAAAAAAAAAGCAAAACAAAACACCAAGCCAAAACAGAAAAATTAGAAAGAAATAAACAAACAAAAGAAGGCCTGGGAATGCTATGATATGCTAGCTATTGGAACTGCCATCCCAAAGAAAGCTGCTGTCCATTTGAAAAACAGATTTTTCTTCCAGCTTATGGCCTAAATCAGGAAAATTCAGTCATTCTCCATTGTATAGGAAGAATAACACAAATGTTATTTCTTTTCCTGAAGGTTAACAGCATTCAATTAACAACAAAATATCACACACACCCTGGTCGGTGTGGAACAGACTCCTGGGGTGTTTGTTGACTTTCCACCCCAGTGCACTCAGTAAATACTACAGATTGCTCGACCTGCACATCTTCACCAAAGTATATCTACGTCAGTTCAACCTTTAACAATTATTTCCCTTTCTTTCATTTCCTGGCTTAATTGTAGCGGTGGGTATGTGACAGCTGAAGGGAAAGCTGTCGATTTTGAACCAGAGTATAATGGGAGCTAGGTGGGTCTTAGGTACCTACCTCCTTTAGTGGCTGTGTCCCTCATATGCCACCCAATTGGTTTTCTGCAGACAGCAGGTCTGCATTTTCACATCTTGCGGTCAGTCGTTAGTGCTAAACTGTTAATGGACTCACTCATCTCAAGAACTACAAATGCAGAACATCACTGCTTTCCTGCCGATGCTATGAGTATCATCAGACAACTTAATCACACCTGTACCTGTGGCTCTGCATTTAAAAGACACTTGAATAGTGTTGTGCCAATTAAGTGTAGACTATTACAAGGGTAAAATATGTGACTCACAGCTTACCACTGCAATTTTATCCTTGACATTGAAATAAAACACAAAAATGACCATTAGTTCCATTTAGAGGGGGAGTTTGTAGTGAATGTTGCACCTCTCAACAAGTTTTCAGCCACTCACAAGTTGCTCTCATAGCAAACCCACAGGATTGTAGTCCCTGTGACCTGAAAGTAATGAACTTCTACCCTGATCCTTTGTACAGCTCTAGTCAAATTAAATCTTTGCTGAACTAAAGCATTATCCATTTAGAATGTCATTTAGTTTTTATTTAAAGACCTGAAGTGGGAGAGACTTCAACAATGACCCTTGGTAATTTGACTGAGTAGTAAACATCCTCACGGATCAAAAACAAAACCTCAGAACTAAACAAATGTACTATCCTGAACATTATCAAATTTCACTCATTTGATTCTATTTTAATCCCATGGATTCAACACTCATTTGTACTTTTCCATCCTGCCTCACCGAGTGACCTCAGATTAAATGACCCCTTCAGCTGTTCTTTGTATTAAAGAACCTCGCAAAGCCATAGGTATTTTTTAAAAATCAATTACCCATTTCAGTCCCACAGTTTAACTGTGCACTTTCCTCAGCTGCACTGTTCAAGCTACTCCTAAGTTTCATACAGTTAGCATTTTATCATTTTTTTTTTTTTTTTTTTTTAAATTTAGTCATTTTGTTGCAGTTTTGGCATTACTGATTCATTATCTGCATTACTGACAGTGCTTCAAAAGATTCAGCCTGCTATTGTGAAATAAGGCAGGGCAGAGACAGCAGAGACATTCTTAAAAGTTAACAAAGCTCAGAGATCTCTTTGGAAAACGATTAGGATTGCTTTGTAGTACTATGCCTTGTTGTGTTGGTATAGCAGTAATAAAAGTAGATCTATCAGCGTAGGACAGTGTTCATGATTTTCTGATATTCAGAGGTTTTCAGAAAAAAATGCCTCTTGCCTTTTTACAGATAGGTATAACTTTGATTCCTTGATTTGCTGAAACATGAAGATATTTGCTCAGAGTTCCACTTTGATTTCAGGAGAAGTTTCTTCAAGCTTGAGCTTAGCATCAGCAAGAGATCAGTGCATGTCTTCATTTGCAGAGTAAGACTTAAAAGCAAAGAAGTGACAATTTAGAGTTGTGTGATTGTTTGATCGTTTACTCTTCTGAAGAAAGAGGTGGCAATGAGAGCAGCCACTTATCACCCATCAGCATTATCAAATAACTGATGGTCCAGAGCTGCAGTGAAGAAGGACCACATAACACTTTGGGCTTCATTTTGCCACCCACAGCCTGACTAAAGACATCATTTCAGTATGATTCTCGATCACGAGTGGTAGCGCAAAGCTGAGATGATGTGTACACCAGAGTGAGGTCATCTTATCAGCTTCATTTTTGCTCCCCGCTTTCTTAAAGTTGTAGAAAGAAGTATGGATTGCCTATGATGGATAGGAAAATCAGCTTTAAACATCAGCAACAGAAACTGTATGATAAGAGAAGGTCAGAAAATACAATAGGACTCGTTGTTTAAGGACAACATTGACACTTCAAAAATGGGAGAGAAATGCCAATAGTCTGGTTTAGCTACATCTGATTCTGTTTGGAGATATGGAGAAGGCTGATGTCACACTGAGGTCCTATCAAGACTTATGATTCTGCATTTGTTCTCTTTAGTTAAGTAGTTTCCTCCCCTCAGTACTGTCTACGGTTCTCTGTCATCTGTAATGAGGATGACTTTGCTTTTCTATCATTCAAATCTGGCAGAAACATTACAAGTTTTTAAATTTTAATTTGAATTCTACAAATACAGGAAGTACAAAGAAAGGCTGCAGTCCAGTACAAGAAGCTCTATTTCATAGAATCATAGAATCACCAAGGTTGGAAAAGACCTAAGAGATCACCCAGTCCAACCGTTCACCTATTCCCAATAGCTCCCACTAAACCATGTCCCTCAGCACAACATCCAACCTTTCCTTGAACACCCCCAGGCTCGGTGACTCCACCACCTCCCTTGGCAGTCCATTCCAGTGCCTGACCACCCTTTCTGAAAAGTAATACTTCCTCATGTCCAGCCTGAATCTCCCCTGCCGTAGCTTGAAGCCATTCCCCCTGGTCCTATCACTAATGACACGAGAGAAGAGGCCGACCCCCAGCTCACTACAACCTCCCTTCAGGAAGTTATAGAGAGCAATGAGGTCTCCCCTGAGCCTCCTCTCCTCCAGGCTGAACATTCCCAGCTCCTTCAGCCTCTCCTCATATGGCCTGTGTTCCAGACCCCTCACCAGCTTTGTTGCCCTCCTTTGAACACGTTCCAGGGCCTCAATATCTTTCTTGCAGTGAGGGGCCCAAAACTGGACACAGTACTCGAGGTGCGGCCTCACGAGTGCTGAATATAGGGGAACAATCACCTCTCTGCTCCTGCTTGCAACACTGTTTTTGATGCAAGCCAGGATGCCATTGGCCTTCTTGGCCACCTGGGCACACTGTCGGCTCATGTTCAGCCGAGCATCAATCAATACCCTCAGGTCCATTTCCTCTACGCAGTCCTCCAGCCACACCGCCCCAAGCCTGTAGCGTCGCCTGGGGTTGTTGTGGCCGAAGTGCAGGACCCGGCATTTGGCCTTGTTGAAACTCATCCCATTGGCTTCAGCCCAGCTCTCCAGCCTGTCCAGAGCCCTCTGTAGGGCCTCGCTACCCCCAGGCAGATCCACACTTCCAGCCAGTTTGGTGTCATCTGCGAATTTACTGAGGGTGCACTCGATGCCCTCATCCAGGTCATCAATAAAGATATTGAAGAGGACAGGCCCCAGCACCGACCCCTGGGGAACACCACTCACGACCGGTCGCCAGCTGGATTTGACTCCATTCACCACCACTCTCTGTGCCCGGCCCTCCAGCCAGCTCCTCACCCAGCCAAGAGTGTACCCATCCAAGCCTCTGGCTGCCAGCTTCTGCAGGAGAATGCTGTGGGAGACAGTGTCAAAGGCTTTGCTGAAGTCTAGGTAGACCACATGAACAGCCTTTCCCTCATCCACCAGTTGGGTCACTAGATCATAGAAGGAGAGCAGGTTGGTCAAGCAGGACCTGCCCTTCACGAACCCATGCTGGCTAGGCCTGATCCCCCGCTCATCCTGCACATGCTGCATGATCTCCCTCAAGACAATCTGCTCCATTTCATATTAACTGTATCCATAGAAATGCAGCTAATTTACCTGACTTTTTTTCAACCTGCCATGGAAATACTTCATAGAGTAGTTAGTTTAAAAAACACACACCTAAAACGTTAAGGGAATAAAAATGCATTTGAGTACTGTGAAATGTGAATAATTGAAAATCATGTAGAAAATAAGATGCTGTTGGTTACCGAGTCTGACAAACTTTGGATAAACATTCATACTCTCTGAAATAGCTGAAAACAAAAATTAAAAGAATCCTCTGAAATAATTTCTCTGCTATATATAATACATTGTGTGATTTACTAGCTAGACTGTTTTTCTTCTTTTAGTGGTCAAAGCAGCTTGAAACAGGACACCCAAAACTGACAAGTGTAGCCTGTGGAGCCCCTCAAGGATGCAGTGGGGAGTCAAGGCAATGGGTAAGAGATATTACCTGTCTGATTTACAGTTTTGCCTTACCTTCCTATGTGGAGTGCCTGGTTGTTACCTTGCACCTTGATCTCTTGCAAAACTCCTGCCAGCTAAGGGAGAATTAAACAGAAGTATTTTTACAATATCCACATTTAAAATAGACCATGTAGTTGCAAGTGAACAAAACCCAAATTTTAGCACATTCCTTTTTCATTTGTATTTAGCCAGTTTGCTTGCATCCTTCTGCACATCTCCTGGAATCTCCAACTTTCTGCTTACCTTTAAAGCTGCATCCTTGGAGACATCCAGCCTTGGCAGATAACGTGTCCACGCAGCCAAACATCTTTTGCACGCCTCCCAAAGGCTAGTCCCAGATTCAATCTTTTTCCCTGAAACTTGCTGTTACAGAATTGTGTAGGTGTTTTTGGTTAGTTAAGAAGCACATTGGTTCACTTCCTCTGGGCCACAACTATGGCATAACTAGGTCAAGAGCCCTCTCCTTTCCTGATGGGCTAATTCACTGCACTTGTCATACTGAAGGGTAATGCTTCCTACCCCCTCCCCTTTAGAGAATCACCAAGCACATTTCAGTGTGAAGTGTCCTCCTCGGTGAACTTACATATTTTACATCATGCTGTACAAATAAACACTCTCGTTGCAGCAGCTAAATGGAGCTTAGAAGTTTGCAGGTTATTGTTTTTTTTTCCCTACATGATATGGTAGCAATTAACTACACTAGTGACAGGGAGTGTGGGGTGTCTGACCTCGTTATTTTCATCTGAGATAGGCTCTAACAACTCTTCTGATAATAATGATGCCAACAAAAATAGGACGTGATACAGAACTTTATGACAGGTTGTCATTTTGTACTTGTTGGATCTGGCTCTTTAAACAGACAATATAATCACTGCTATTTAATTATCTTGTCATTATAGTCAATGTTTGCTATTTCAGTTGGTGCTAATGTGCTTGTTAACCTAAATTATCTTATTCCTTCAGTTAAGCATTCGGTTTTAAATTGTGTATATATATATATATATATATATATTAAAAAGAATCTGTTTTATAAGACATGAGGCAAAAATATGTTAAGGTTCTCAATTTGGAACCGCTCTATTTACAAATACTGAAATAAATTACACATTTAAAAAAAAATACTTCTAGCAGTAGGTGCAGATGTTAGTATATATATATGTATATATATATGTATATATATGAATGTCGTAGTAGAACAGAGAACAAAAGTCAATTTGCTCTATTGATCATAACATTTAAAAATAATGCAGTATTTTGTTGTAATGTTGGTTAGGCACTGTGGTTTAGTCAGCTGTGATTAGTTCAATGACAAGATCCCTTCTTCAATCCCTTAGCACTTACTAAATTTATAGTTAGGCTGATTGATGCATGATAAGAGCAGGCAAACAGTTTGACCAATATTCTTAAAACCGGGAAGACAACGTATTAGATTTATGCACAGCTTCAGCTGCTGGGTGTGATTCTGCTTCAGAAATCACAAGTTTGATCTACGGAAGTGGGGCCAACAGCAGTTGTGACGGTTTCCCATCAGCCCCCCACACAGCATGTGATAACACATAATCTGCATTTCTCTGTAGTCCTTCAGTGCATGACATTACTTTTGACTGTCACCACACTACTAGGAGATTACTTTCAGCTCTTTGCCTTGCTGTGTCCCAGTGACCTTGCATATTTAATCATAATTGGAAGTCAAGTGACTTTTGCAAGACATGAATGTTAATTAGCTTTCAAATTGCTAAAGAGGGTACTTCGTCTGGAGATCCTCTGATTGCAGTAATTAATTAGTTGTGTGAGGTCAGCCTCCTGTCTTGCACAGTTCATTGAGCAGCTTCTTTTCAAATATTTATAAAGATGTTTTAGTACCTATCACTGAAAGCTACATTAATGCTTTAATTTTTAGCAGAAAAGGGACAGCCTAATATTGTTGGACTTAGTGATTTAGTAGTAGGATATATAATAGCAATCTCAAATTAATGATTCCATTATGTTATATTTTTAAAATGTCAATTAGGAATAGGAGAAAAAAGATATTTGATTCCACAGCATAAAAAATAAACTGAAAAGGTGAATTAAAGCTATAATTGTAGACTAATTAGCATTAAAATATTGTTCAGAGCAGTGAAGTATTAGGATTTTAGAAACTTCAAAATGAATAGAGTACCTAAATGTATGCAGAAAATTGACACACATCTTTAACAAAGGCATAACATCTTCTGACAAGTGTTGGGTGGGATGCACCAGGGCATTACAGTGTATGAACCCAATCACACACACAGACAAAACCTTCAGAAGGTCACAGTCGTTTCATGACAGACCTATTTCCAGCCTGCCTCTTGAACTACAAAACCCTGTGGGGTGGATGTGTTCTCTTGAACCAATCAAAAGGCCACTGGAAGAGCAGGGACATGGGAACTCCAGCTTGGGGGCACAGGCTGTGTGCCAGCCACAGGGCTTGCATGAAACATGGCTCCTGCTGCACAAAGTGGCCTGTTCATAGCCTAGCTGCTAAAAAGAAGTCCAATGGCTACCCAGTATATGAAATTTTAAAGTGTGACCTCTGCAGTAAGGACAACAGCGTAGTAGCACTGCATACTTTCACACTTTATGCCCATTGAACAAAAAGCTCTGATCAGTGGAGGATGCATTACGCACCTTAAAACTAAGAGCAATCTATGTTCCTCCTATTATAAAAACCAGCAAATCAGATTTATATCTATTTTTTTTTCTTTAATAATTGTGCACCAATAGAAGGGAACTATATGGACTTTTTTTTTTTTTGGGGGGGGGGGGGGCGGGGGGGAAGATAAGAGATGTTGGGATCCACAAATACACCTGGAAAAGAGTAACCATAATCTAATGCACAGGAAAGACTTCGCACCTCACTGTCTGTTCTTCCCACAGGACACCTTTTCTGAGACACTGTTTTAAAAGGTGGGAGACCCCTTCAACTACTTGGGAGCATTATTCTAGCATTACTTGCATTGCTTTGCTTTCCTTATGATACAGATATTTGTGAACTGCTGAGAGGTCAAATTAATAACTATACTTTCACTTTTGTAAGTTCAAAGCTCCAGATTTCCAAAATATTTACATATCAATTTTCACCAAGTATGCAGAATTTCTAATTGGCACTGCCAAGCCAATTAACTATAAGTAACTATATAGTATATTAACTATACTGCAGAGTGGTGGACAGGAAAATCAGCTATACAACGAACACCAAAGCACTTAAGAGCTTGGATTCAGGATCAATAAAACTAAAATAAATATCTCAGGTTTTTTGCTACGTTAAGCTCACAGTGGCATTAATTCCAAAACAGCAAAGGTTATACTTGCCAACATAAGGATCTTCTGTTTGAAATTCAGGGCTCATGTGAGTCACCAGAAAGCACGTACACCCAGGCTACAATGTGCCACCAAAGTCACACCATTTGCTATAACGAAATGATATCTTACCTGAGCTATCAGCATACTGTTGTCAGACACAATGCAACGCTGACCACTGTGGTAACACGGTGAAAATCATCATTAGTTTATCAAGAAGTCCTCAGAAATACAGGCAGAAAGCCACTGCAGAGTCTTGCTCCAGCAAAACATGGGGAGGGCCTGTATCTTTGCTCTGATTTTCCTATCAGATGTGATTGTATTGAAGCCCAGCAACAGTTTGCTACTTAAGGGCTTACTACTATCTTCCCAGTGAACCTGGACTTCACCATCCCTAGCTAGGGATATCACATTAGCCATGTAGGTGATACCCAACTCTTCCAACAGTTAAATAAGTTAAAAATTTGTATCTTAGCACTGCCTCCTGGCATTTGGACTGAGCAACACTACGCAGACTGATTGCTAAGCTCAGTGCACAGTGCACACATGGGTATGTCTGGCACCAGGTTCAATCATCCACTCATTTGGCTCTGAATACAGGCAGAAATCCATCTCTGAGGCTCAAGTGCAATTCTAAGTTATTCCAGCAGCTGAACGCTGACCTCCTGAGCAGATCTTCAATAGTATTGCCAGAAATACAAACCAATTATATAATTGTCTTATATTAATCACCTATACTAAACACATACTTACATGGCACAAGACTGCTGCTGGAGTACTACTAACATGAAACAAGTGAGAAGGCCATGCAACTATTTGCTGAAGATTTCTGCAGTGCCAACTACTGTTACTTTCAGATTTGCTTATTTAAGCTTCGAACAAATTCACTGACCAACTTGTATCCTTTTCCCCTCCACACTGACCATTCACTTGACGTGAAATAACTTAAAGAAAGGAACTTAACAACAATAAATATAGCCCATGAGTTTTCTGTGGGAGTTACAGACCCTCCTTTTCTATTCACCTGTTAAAATGAGTTTTTGCTGCAAAGACACATCCATTCTGATATGTATATATATAATATATGTAGTATCAGTATTGGGTATAGGCACATATCTTGATTAAAGACAGATTTTTTTCTTCTTTCAGAAAATAGACCACTGTTAGCTTTAGTAGCAGTAGTACTGGTATTCGTATAATCTTTTTTCTCGGGTAGAGCTCATTCAGTATCCTCCAGAGGCCAGGAGAGTTTCCTCTATTCATGTATTACTTTGAAGGCCACTGTCAGAGGTCACAAAGTCACAACATGCACTGAGGGACGTGCAGCTGGCATAAGGAACCAAAGGATGCTTTATGCCTCTTTGCTCCTTTTTGTCATCTAACAGCATGGGGCACTAAATTAGAAACCCTTATTTTCATTAGATCTGTATTTCACACATGTGGAGATGGTAAGCGTGATAAATTAGAGAACTGAGATGATAAATTATCATTTCCTTTGCCCGCTATACTTCTGTCCCTCAATCCATCTCTCTAAGACTTGAAAAATACCAAGTGCCTCAGTATCTTTGCAGAGGTGCCCAGGGCTACAGAGACGAGCTTCACCTTTTGTTTGCTTTTTTCGCATGAAAAATGTCTCTATTTTTAAAGTTGATTACCCAGAGGACTTTTTATTATCAACATGATTTCCTTCTTAAATTATTTTCTTACCCTCCAAAAAGGAGTATGTATGAGAAGGAACTCAATTTTATTCTGATCTATTATGCACTTCCATGTGAAACAGATTTTCTGAAATGTATTTAAACCAATTTTTACTCCATGTGACCTTACTATTTGTGGTCACTGCCAGCCTGATACAAATAAGTTAATTGTTATATTAGGACCTTATCCATTATCTCACTGATAGCTAATCAACTCAGAAATAAAATTTTAAAGGCACTGCACTGCAAAGTTTTCCTTCTGTATATATCAAACGTTATTGTAAATTAAAGACATTAAAAAATAAAAATCTAAATAAATATTCTCGAATGTATTTCCTAATCCCAAAGCTGTTCTCATGTTATCTTAGTTGTACAGAATGACTATTCAAAGTTGCACAAGCATCATCCAACTCAATCTGTAGTTTTGAACTTTTTTTGATCATACTTTTGTGTTTATACGAACTCTTGCATAGAAGAATGAGAGCTTCTAGCACTATGCAGAGACTCGATTGCACTGTTATGTGTAAACATCCCAGCAGAAAGAAATATATAAAAAATTTCAAACTTAAACTATTGGACAAAATTCCAAAATATTTGGCACAGTGCTGCTTTTTTTTTTTTTTCCCTTGTGTTCTCTGTAAAGCTTCCCTCTTCATCAAAGCTTTTGGGAATGCAATTTGCACAGAAGCACATTGTGTTACCTTTCAAAACCAGGAACCATTGCTTAGACCTTGCCTACGTGTAAGAAAAAAGAAAAAAAAACAGTGTATTTTTCAGGGTTACTTTTATCAGAAGGTCCATTTTTTCCAAATAATTTTAGTACCTGACATTTACGGAAACAATAAACTACTTCATACTGCTAAGAAGAATTATCAGCATTGTGGAAAAATAATTGTAACCTTACGAATTCAGTGAAATAGTAACGTACAAACAGTTCACATGAAATGCCTTCAGTATCTTCAGGAAAGCAACCACAAAAAAGCCTTGCAATGATATCCTGAAGAGACAGACATTTTAATCAGTGATACAAGCACATTTAACCAATTTTTTTTTTTTTCATTTCTTCTAAGCTTATGCCAACTAAAAACACACAAAAATCTGTGGCACTAATAATAGCAAAACGGTTGTGGAGATGTAGAAAGTTCAAAGTTTTTGTTGTTCCTTGTAACTGTTTATACAATTTTGGGCACAAAATTATTTCACTCAACTTATGACGAAGCACATACACGTTATTATTGATCAGGTCCCGAATCATCCAACTTTCATCTCTTATGTGGTTTGTGTAGATGCAGAATGTGGGGATTTTGGGGCTATTAAAGGATTGTGAGAAACCACTACTATGGAGAACTTTGGCGAAGTTAAAAAATAAAGAGAACAAAAAAATCCACTGGGGATTATTACAGTTGAAAAATCTTTAAGGCATGGCAGTGATAGAACACAATATCTCCATCAAAATTTTGGCCTGAAAGGTAAAGATCAGATTTTGATCTAATATCCAATATCTAATAACTACACTGACATCAACTGTGTGTTTCTGAGAAAATAAATAAATTTAATTTTTTAATATTAATTTACATTTAAGCTAGTGTAAACACAAATGTCCCACTAAAAGAAGACATGAGACATCACAATAAATAAAGTTCACCAGATTTGTGTGTTTATGATTTCAAACTTGTGTTACCTGCATACCCACTGGTTAAAATGTAGTTTTGCCTGAGTATTGAAGATTTGAGGTTACCTCTGCCAGAAAAACATTTCTGAGAAGAAAAACTGCTTACATCCCATGTAAAAACTGAGGGCCAGATCCTATCTGATGGTGCAACAGAATAAAGGCAGAACCTGTGCAGTTCTATGGTATGAAATTATCCAGCATTTCTGTAGAAAACAAAACAGCTTTAAAATTCTGTTGACAGAATATACAGCCATACACCTAAGTTATCCAAATGTGCAGAGCTGTGAAAACATTCAAGTAGAAGTTGTATAAAAAGCAAAAATTGTCACAAAAAAGAATTTTGCCATTTGTACAAAGCAACGTTCCTTCCCTTCAATTTGTTTTCCTTCAGTTTTCATTTTTATCCTAAATTTAAAAATTAGTCAACACACTGAATTAAGTATGTAGATTTTCATTTAAATAAGTCAGTCAACAATTTTTTTATAAAGTATTTAACACTTCATTGTAGAAACATAGGCAAAATGACTATTATAACCAAAATGAAAAATACTGTTCCATCTAAAAAAATGTACTTAAACAAGAACCTGAAAAAGTTTATGATATGCATAACATTGTTCAAGCAAAATTGCACTAGTATTACATAAATCAGGAGTTTTATAAAGGCCCCAATATGGCAAAGTTTAGAAATAGGTAGTATGCATGCACAATAGTACAACAAAAATCTTATAAAACAGCAGTTATTTTTGTAATGCTTGTACAAAGGGAAGAAAGAGCAACCACAAACATATTTAATCTGTTAGGTTAATATATTATGATAACTAAAAGTCAGTCACGTCTAGCAGAGGAAGGAAGAATCCTCCACTGTATATGTGTGAATCAGTCTTTTGTGCCTTTAAATTTATGTATAAAATACTTTGATTCAGTTCAAACCTGAAAGACATTGTATTCTTTATTTTCATGAAAATTAAAAAAGTTGAATCAGATCTTTCTTCTTAGCAACAACAAAAAACAAACCAGGTCAGAGCAAGTGCTGAAAACCGATACTGAGAATTACTCCTGATAGCTGGATTGCTATATTGAACCCAGACTATTGAAACTCAGACCTAGGTAAGGATTAACTACTCTGTCATTTGGTTATGGTTTATCTTATCAATATCACAGTTCATTTTCATTTAAAGAAACTGCAGTATTTTGGATTCCTTAGTATCTCTAAACAAGTGTGACTTTTTTGTGACGGTCAAAACCGAATGCTGTGAGTGTGTGTGTGTGTGTGTGTGCTTAAGGTGTTTTTTGTATCTATTTCTTTTTCCCCCTACTGCTTGGTACATGTTTGGGGAATTAACAATCCATAAGTAATGCATGAGATTAAGTGAATAAACATATAATGCATGTGTAGGCAATGCCCTCTTGTGCTCTAGGGTGGCTACTGTCCTACAGGACTGTTGGAGTTCATATGCTTTGTCCCACAGCAAGTAAGGTTTCAGCTTCCAAGATATATCGTTACTATGTTCTATAAGGTTTTAATAAATACAAAGCTTGTTTACATGGTATATATGTTTAGTATATCATGTACAGTCACTGAATTTCTGAAACATAATCATTGTGTTCATGCAGATCATTAGATGTTTCATTTCTATAGTCTTGCTTACTTCTCGACAACCTAAAGCTAATTTAAAAGCAAGTAATGTTGGTTTGTGAAAAGTTAACTAGCTTCATCAGGATCTGAAGAGAAATTCTAATGGGCACAAAGAAGAGAGTAGACCATTCAATCATTCTTTCACCATTTAAAATAAACAAAGTTACACACTGTACTACAGCTTCCAGACTACATAATGAAAAAGTGCAAATACCATCTTCATTGATTAAGTAGAACCAAAAAAGTTCATAGAAAATAGATTGCTCATTTTCACGCTACAAACAAATATGTTGTTTGCAATTTTAACAAATTTAAAGGTGTGTTATTTCAGCAGCATTGTTGTAAATTGTACTGTAGTGCAGTTTCTTTATCATAAAAATACCTTACAAATGGTCAGTCAAAAGTCATCAGCAAAAGAAAAACTCAGAAAACAATCAACAGAACAAAAAAACAGAGGTAATGCTGATGCCAAAACAATTATAATACTGTTGGTACATAG